CTCAGCAATTGCAGCGTCACAGATATCTAAAAATTTCAAACTCTTAACTCCCGACAAATTTGGCCCTGTCCTTTTCATCGTCTCCCAACTGTCAGGCAAAGAGGATAGCAGTTTTATAGCCTTCACCTCCTCTGAAGAAGTTATCTCCATAGACTCTAACTTGGTTCATCAGATCAGTGACCTCATTTATGTAGGAGTTCACTGAGGTACTCTCTTCCATGTGGATGTTGAAATATCTCGTAATGAGAATCACCTTGTTGTTGGCAGAAAGTTTTTCATACATGTCAATCAAAGCCTTCATCAGTCCCATTGCTGTTTTCTGGCTCGCCACGAGACTCACCACATTCATCGTCGAACATAGACTGATGATTGCTACTGCTTGTTCATCCATCTCTTTCCACTCTTTATCTGACATTCCAGTGGCCAGTTGTTCTTTCAGGGTTTTATGAATATTCTTGTATGTAGGAAGATCTGTAATTTGCATCTTCCAAAACCCAAAATTCTTCCCATCAAATCTCAACACCCCTTCGAAGTAGTGATGTGACTTCTAACTAGATCCCATGATATTGCAACCTACAGCTCTGATACCACTTGTTGGGAGATTAGATGCTCCAAAACAATTTCCCATTCCATAGTTATATCCAATAAATCACAATCACACATTACAAATAAGAGATTAAAGGAAAGTAATAAACGACACAAGAATTTATACTAGTTCACCCCAACAGTTTATGAGCTACGTCCAGTCTTCTGTTCATATGCGGGTCCACTAAATAATTGAGATTGGATACAAAAAACTCAAATATCTCCCTAGAACCATCTAGAGGTCCGAACAAAAGCCCTATAGCTTCTAAGTATTATGACACATTATACTGAATGAGAAACTCACAAGAATCAAGATCTAATTACTCTGAATATGTCGTATGCCTCAATACTTTTGCCAATATCTTAAGCCTCTGCCTCGAAACTGCCACAAAATTGCTCTGAGATCGGCTCAAAACGACTATAATTTCGACTGGATAAACCCTAAAACCCGACTCGTCCCTAGGTCGTTTCGATGTCAATTTGGCTTCACCAATCCTAACATTAACACCCATAGAGTGGGAGTCATTGTTATGGGTAAAATTATCCTACCAAGCTCACGTGAATTGGAAAGCAACATGAGTTGAACCACTAAGTCAGACCACTCAAGCTAGATCACTCAATCAAACTAGACTCAAGCATATCTACTCAAACCGACCCAATAAGACTCCCTCTGTTAACAAGAGGGGAGACATAGTAAGCAAGGTATGCTCACACACCTCGTACTCTTGCGATTGTCAATAAAACTTTTTGCTAACTTAGCTCACAGAGTGTATTGAACTTAGCAGAATTCTTGTGTGTGCAAGTGCTCGTTGGAGGCTGGATCTAGATTCCCACACAACGATTCGAATTCCCACCCTACGAGTTGAATTAAAAATATACACACATATATCCTATAAATGTAGCCGTCGATAATTTTGCAAAGGCCATGTGAGGTGCCCTCCATCGCCCTCACAGCAACTCAACCCTATCCATAATCCAAGAGGAACGCCTTAATCACGCTCGCCCGTAGCCCCCACAAAACACCAAACAAATAAAACCACTCAATTTAAATAATCTTCCTCTTAGACTTTGGGCGATAAATTTCACACAGACGAACCATTTCTTTGGTCCCCCAAGTGTTGGACGACTCACTCTTCCCCATTCATTTCAAAATTTTAAACTCCTCTGCTCTGCTCTGCTCTGTGGGTTTTTGGTGGGGATGCAAAAATTGAAGGTCACAACCACAACAACATGGATTCTTTCAGTGGATTGTATATTGGATTGGGCTCAGTTTTGGGGCTCCTCTTTCTGGGCATAGCCGCAGAGCTCTACTACCTCCTCTGCTGGAAGAAGAAGAGAATCAATTCCACAGAGCTGGAAGACCACCACGAATTCAAAGACAAATCCCACGAAACCAAGCAGGAATTGGACGTTGAAGATGCAGAAGATGAAGATGAAGGGGATTTGGAGGTGATGGGGCTGTACAATCTGGGAGGGCAGCCCAGATTTCTGTTCACAATCAACGAGGAAACCAAGGAGGATTTGGAATCGGAGGATGGGAGATCCAGAAATCGAAGCCTTGGTGACATAATCATGGCGATCGAAACTCCATTCTTCACTCCAATGGCTTCCCCGCCGTCTCTCCATGGGTTCGGATTCAATCCCCTCTTCGAATCGTCGCCCCCTCCCAAGTTCAAGTTTCTGAGAGACGCAGAGGAGAAGCTGTACAGAAGGCTCATGGAAGAGGCCCACAGAAAGCCCACATTCCATTGCTCCACCTCTTCTCAGGTGCTTCCTCTGGTTTCTTCTCCTCCTCAATTTCCCACTAGTAACCTCTCTTGATGATTTCATTCATCTGTTTCTTCAATTATTTGTACATATTATAGTTATAGCTGTAGGTTTTGGATGGATCTGTTCCTTGTTTCCTCAGGCGTTGCTACCATTTATAAATCCTTCTTTTCAATTTTGGGGAAGAGATTCATGAACAAATTAGAGTCAATAGGTTTGTTAATTACCTGGTTGCAAGGTGTACTGACAAAGCCCGGATCCATGAGAACAATTATCTATAAATTCTTTTATATGTAATCTTTCTATTTTGTTTCCATTTAACCCCTACTCGTTTTATATTTGAGTCCTGAATTTTTAATAATAGTTTTTGAAGTATGATTAAGTTTTTGAATTTTTAGTGAGAATTTAAATGTATTTATGACAAAAGAAAAAAAATTTGGAAAATAAGCATAATTTTGTAAAACAAAAAACAAAAAACCAAAATCCTTGTAAAATGGAGTCTAAACTTTTAATTTTGTGTTTAAATTCTTGAACTTTAAAAATATCTAAGAGGTCTCTGTAACCACTCTAAATTCAAAGTTACGACCTTCCAAATGTTTAATTTACTTATATTGTTATTTAAAATTCTTTTAGGATTTAAAAAGGTTTTATGAACCTCTTTTAAAAGTGAACTACAAATGGGTAAAAAGAATTATTTTCTAAAAGTAAAATAATTATGAAAGATTTTTCTCGACTCAACAATTCAACAATGTAACATGTTTTCTGTATGAAAAACAGAATTTGGGTAAAAAATCTGAAAACAAAATTTGACATTTTCAAGGAGCAGTTGGAAATTTGACATTTTGAAGGGGCAGGTCATGTCATGACTTCATTTTGAAATATTAAAGGGGGCAAAAAGAAAAAGTTTTAAAGGAAAAAAAAAGTGTCCATTGATCACTTACCCAAACAACAAGAAATGTCATTGTTATTATCACGCGATGCGGCCGCCGAAAGTTTGTTGCCCCTCCAACCATTATTTACCCCTTTTTTCTTCTTCCCTCACCAACAATTCTTTTTCTTTTTTTTTTTGGATGAAAGTATTTTTATTTATCTCCTAGAATTTTAAAACCTTCGTTTCGGTTCATTTGTTTTTAATTTTTGTTTCGGTTCATTTGTTTTTAATTTTTGTTCATTTTAATCAATGTATTTTTAAAACGTCTATTTTGATCCCTATACTTTTAAAAAGTTATCATTTGGTCCTTTCATTTTCATTTTTTTTCTAATTTCTTTCCAGCATAATTTTAGCATGATACTTTGTTAACTAAATTTCTTGAATGTAAATATATGTATTCAAAAGTTTGAATTTGGGATAAAATTCGTGTTTAAATTTTGTAATTATGAACCAAATTAGTCACTTATTGAACTAAAATGAACAAAATTTAAAAGTATAAAATGACTCAAATTAACTAAGGTAAAAAATAGGGAGGTCAAAATAGTATTTAAATCCAAATTTATAACTAAATTATAGATTTCATATTTAAATCTTTCAGATAATATTGAAAGTTCATGGTCTATTATAATCATTTAAAAAACATCCTTTCTAAGTTCAAAGATTTATTAGAAATTTGTTAGAGTACACCAAATAAATAGAAACTTCATGGACCAAATTATAATTTAACCTATTTTTTTCTTTAAAAAATTTATCAAATACTTTGTTGGATGGATGAAGCAAATTTTTATTTCATCGAATTAAATAATACTATTAAGATGAAATCTTTGAATTACTTGTAGAATGATTAAAAGGATTTCTAGGTAGTCAAAAATACTTACTATCAACATCTATGAATTCAAGTATCATAAAACATCTTTTAATTTATGTTTTTTAAATAAATTGGAAATATGAACCAGAAAGAAAAAATTATTTTGGTTGTTTCCAAAATTTCAATACAATTTTGAGAATGTTCTAGAAAATATAGTTAGTTGTAAAATACTTAAATTTCTTAAGAAGATTAGAAATGAGAAACAAGAAACGGGAACGTTACCAAACTAGTCCTGAATGGTTTGTGAGTTGTGATTTTCTTAGTTGTTAGACGAATTTTGTCTAGATATGAGTACATTTATTTTTTGATAACCTAGAATTGATATTTTGTGGCCTATGTTCGAATATCTTTTTTTAATGGTTGGATTTTAACGTTTTTATTCTTGACTTGTAGTATTTTGCTTATGTAACTAATTGGTCGATTAAGATATATTTTTTTTAATTTAATTTTAAAAATAATTTATTTTATTACTCATTTTAAGTTTAGAGTTGAATTTGATACATTTATTTTTTGATTACTCGAAATCGATATCGTGTGGCTCGGTTCGAATATATATATATATATATATATTTTTTTATGGTTGGATTTTGACATTTTTATGCTTGATTAATTTGTAGTATTTTGTTTGTGTAACTCATTGGTTGATTAAGATATTTTTTAATTTAATTTTAAAAAAATTTATTTTATTACTCATTTAAGTTTAGAGTTGAATTTAATAAATTAAAGTTTAAAGTTAAAATAGGTTGTTTGTGGTAACCAGTCTCAAAGTAATTATCCCAAGTAAATAGCCTTAGAAAGAAAAAGTGTTAACTCTTTTCGTATCTGTGAATTTAATTTGAGATAATAAATTTTAAGTTAATAGAAATAAAAAATAAAAAATAAAAACATGAGATAAATTTAAATAGTTTTTGCAGATGGTTAAGTTTTTTTTTAGCTCAGTTTTTTAAATTTAAACACAATAGAGACTTGTAAAAAATAGGGCAAAATACGTTTTTGGTCCAAAGGTTTGAGGTAGGTATCTATTTGGTCCTTGAAATTTTAAAATGAACATTTTTGGTCTCTAAGGTTTGAGGTAGATATCTACTTGGTCCATGAAGTTTCAAAATAAACAAGTTTGGTTTATAGTAGGTATCAACCTAGACCTTGGAGGTCTAAAATAAACACTTTTGATCCTTGCAATTTGAGAAATAGTTCTAAATGGTTCCTGATTTTCTTAACTGATATTAAAATGACGTGACAAATTGCTATTAAATTGTTTATTGTTGTTGTTGATGTGACAAATTGTATTAATTAAATAATATATGTGTTGGTGATGATACTTTCTCTCTCCTCTCCTCATCTCTTCCTCTCTCTTTCTCCTTCTTTTTTCCGACGACCACTACACGTCTTTGGTGGCGTCGTCTCCCATTCATACCGGACATATATCATTTAATTAATATAATTTGCCATATCAGCAACTACAATAAACAATTTAATTGCAATTTGTCACGTTATTTTAATATTAGTTAATTAACAGTAAAAAGAAAAATCAACGATCATTTAAAACTATTTCTCAAACTTCAGGGACCAAAAATGTTCATTTTAAAATCTCAGGGACTAAATCAACACCTACTTTAAACCTCAAGACAAAAAATGATCATTTTGAAACTTCACGGAACAATTAGATATACCTACCTCAAACCTAAGGACTAAAAATGTTCATTTTGAAACTTCAAGAATCAAGTATACACCAACTTCACACCTAAGGACCAAAAATATATATACCAGACTTCTTGGGCTCACAGCCTCATACTTATTTCCAAAATATCGTGTATTTATTTTATTAATTAAAAAATATTCCATTAAATAAACAAATGGTCCTACTTTACTTTATTTTCCATTTATTAAAATTCAAAACCAATGACACGTCAAAATAAGTTGGTGCTCCTATTTATTGGCAAAACTTGTCTGTTTTTAAAATAAAACTTATATAGAAATTAGTTTTAAAAACTATTTTTTATAACACCTAAAACAACCTCGATAAACACGTTCCATAAAATCTTTAAAATTTTCGATCAAAGGCAAAGGCGGGCGGATTTATCATTCTGTGCACAAGTTTTTTAATAACTCAAAAGCATGATTTATAGATATCCAAATTTATGTAATTCATACTTAATTTTGCGACATTGTGATCTATGAAATAAAATATATAATTTAATAGGTGATCTTTATAACTTTTGCTATTTTTGAAACTTGTAAAATTAACAATTTTATAATTAGAAGAGCAAATATTAAGTATATGCTCAATTGCTTGGTATTAGAAAATTTCAACCATGTGAGTCATGAAGGGTTGAAAAGAGGATCTAAAAGAAAAAAAAAGTTGAAAAGAGAAAGAGAGAGCCCAACTTTGGAAAAAGAATATAAAAATCTAAAGTAAGGACCATTAAAAATAATTTTTAAATTATTAAACAAAAAATCCTAAGCGATATGTAAAAGATGAATTTTAAATTCAAACAAAAAGGTTCTGTTTCCACTTCGTTTTGGAGCGGTATTTGAAACTGGCAGAAAGAAGAACTTTATTATTATTATTAATTTTTTTTTTTTTGCAAAATTACGACCGGGAATGAATTTCGTGGGTTGAAAATTTAAATCCGATTTTAAATTTAAAAAAAAGATAAAAATGGTTTCATAAAATTTCAAAGTAAATTAACTTATACATATTAATTTCGAAAGGAATAAATTTAGATTAAAAATTTAAATAGTGTCTGACGAATATCTAACAAAGAAATTTCATTTAATTTATCTCAAATCATTCTCAGTCTAAACCAAATAAAAAACTTAAAATCATTTCGTAGATTTTAAATAACAGAATTTAAAATCATTTCTTAAACTTTCTTGGGAGGATCTCAAAGTTTGTGATTATTTTGTCAAAAAATAATATCTACCTACTTGCTTATAAAATAAGAATTTCATAGTTAATATTATAGTTTTCAAAATGGTATAGAATTTTAAAGATATAATTAAATATTATAACAATTATATAGTTTAACAATTTGATTGCAACAATCCATAGATTCCACAGTGATTTATGCAATTTGCAATATGCCACTAATTAAGTTGCCATAGTAAGAGATGATAAAAATTCCCACAAGGTCAGATACCTCTTCAAGATCAGGAAATGCATTTTCTACCATGCTCGATCCTGTCCCACTTCTATTTTTTAAATAATAAATATATATTTTATTAACTATTTTACTAAATTAAAATAAAATATTAAATATGTTTTGAAACTAACTATTTACCCTGGTAAGCATTACTTTTTATAAATTTATTACTCTTTTTATTTTTTAAATTCTAAAAATAATTAAAATAAATTACTAAATCGATAATTTTTTCCACGAAGATCCCTATCTCCAAACAAGGATTGAACATTTGATTCCCAAAATCAGAGAACGACGTAGAGTCCGTGACTAAAAATTTTCATGAAAACGAGGATGGAAAGGTATGCTTGATTCTCTT